TTTGGGTTTTTCTCTCATGGGGTTTCTCTCTGCTCAACCTCAAAAGGGTAATTTCCTCCCCCCCGCCCACCTCGAGCTACACGCACGACCCTTGAGTGAGCTCGGATGCTAAAACTAGCAGCGTAGCCTCAGCAGCACAGACTAACTACCCGCAGCCATCTGAGATCCCAGGTACGGACACAGGAGCGTATCGCCACCCATTGGCTCTGCTGCCCTGTTCTCATTGCTCATTCAATGCTGCTAAGCTGATCAAAGCTGGGGAGTGACACCTCTCACTTGTAGGATGGACAAACCCATCTTTGAGCTTTAAATAGTCTCCATTTCCCGTCTATTGACTTGTTATGTCCTCGAGACTGGCTGAAATGACATAATGAAGATACTTCACACCCCTGAATGTTTAGAGCTCCGTGCTTATCGGATGCTTTTCTGTTTCAAGACACGTATTATGGAAGGGAGAAACCAAACGCCCATCGTGGAATTGATCCTTGTCACATTTGGGAATGGCCCAGAACTGCAGCCCCTCCTCTTCCTGCTGTCACTAGTCATCTACATTGCAGCTGTTGCTGGGAACCTCCTCATCGTTGTGCCATGGATGATGGATCTTTGGCATTTCCGACACCATGGTGGTACCTTTCATTCTACAATTCACATACTGTGGACCAAAGGAATTTGACCATTTCTTCTGTGATTTTTCATCCATTGGTAGGTTCTGTGGCGAGACATGGACTCTGGTGATACTACTGACATTTGTTCTGTCTTTCGAAAAACTCTTGTGGTCTTTCTGTTTACTCTTGTTATCTACATTAGTATCATAGCCACCATCCTGAGGATCCTTTCCAGCAATGGGAAGGAAAAGGCCTTTTCCACCTGCTTCTCTTACATCATTGTGGTTGCAGCTTTCTATGGCATAAAGGGAAACAAGAAGACCTTTTATAAATACATTAAAAGCAAGAGGAAGACCAAGGACAGGGTAGGCCCACTGCTTAGTGAGGAGGGAGAAGTAGTAAGAGGAAACTTGGAAATGGCGGAGATGCTCAATGACTTCTTTGTTTCGGTCTTCACCGAGAAGTCTGGAAGTGTGCCTAACGTAGTGAATACAAGCAGAGAGAGGGTAAGTTTAGAAGATAGGATACACAAAGAACAAGTTAAAAATCACTTAGGAAAGTTAGATGTCAGCAAGTCACCAGGTCCTGATGAAATGCATCCCAGGATACTCAAGGAGCTGATAGAGGAGGTATCTGAGCCTTTAGCTATGATCTTTGAAAAATCATGGAAGACAGGGGAGATACCAGAAGACTGGAAAAGGGCAAATATTGTACCCATCTATAAAAAGGGGAATAAGAACAACCCAGGAAACTACAGACCGGTCAGTTTAACGTCTGTCCCAGGGAAGATAATGGAGCAGGTAATTAAGGAAATCATATGCAAACACTTGGAAGGTAATAAAGTGATAGGGAATAGCCAGCATGGGTTTATGAAGAACAAGTCATGCCAAACTAATCTGATAGCTTTCTTTGATAAGATAACGAGCCTTGTGGATAAGGGAGAAGCGGTGGATGTCATATACCTAGACTTTAGTAAGGCATTTGATACGGTCTCGCATGATATTCTTATTGATAAACTAGGCAAATATAACTTAGATAGGGCCACGATAAGGTGGGTGCATAATTGGCTGGATAACCATAGTCAGAGAGTTGTTGTTAACCTCTAAAAATTTGAAATGTAGGTCAGACCCCTTTGGAAATCTTAGATGTACTCTGTGGACCCCCATGTTGTCCACAGATCACAGTTGAAAAATCACTGTTCTATGGCAACAATGACCTTTTACAGACCCTCATGGACATAGTCTGTGGACGACATGGGTCCACAGGCCTGAAATTGAAAAACACTGGCCTGCACCATTAATGACCCAAGGGAGCCTTATTCTTGAACCTCATTGAAATTTCTTTACATAGTTAAAGAATCTATACTATAAATATTACTGCATCAGAAATAATTTCTGGTAAGTCTTTAAAGTCATTGAGCCAAATTGACTTTAGATACTTGCACACAGCACACTGAATTCAGTGAGAGTTGTACTTGTTAATGTGAAAGCAGGATTTGGACTTTCCTCTTGCGGTATCTATGAGACAATGTATGTGTGCCTGTATCTATAGTGTAGACGCTAAATTCCTTGTATCTTTGTAAAGTAGCCACACTATAAAGCCCTGTATAGACAAAGTGAAAACTGTAGTAGGATACTATGAAGCAACTCCATGGAATATTTGCAATTTCGTAAAAGAAAGGATTTAATGTTCTCCCTTCATTGCTGTACTTTGTAAATTAAATAATCTGGTAATATAAAAATGTATATAGGTACTAGTTCTAGTTATATCTGAGACTAAAAAGCCATTGAAAGTTGTGTTGTGAATGTAATACTATAACCATTTTGAAAGTCTCAGAGAGGTAGCCAAGGGGACAGAGAAGAGCGACAAGGATGATTAAAGGTTTAGAGAACATGACCTATGAAGCCAGGCTTCATGAACTGGGCTTGTTTAGTTTGGAAAAAAGAAGATTAAGGGGGGACATGATAGCGGTTTTCAAATATCTAAAAGGGTGTCACAAGGAGGAAGGAGAAAATTTGTTCCTCTTGGTTTCTGAGGACAGGACAAGGAGTAATGGGCTTAAAGTGCAGCAAGGGAGGTTTAGATTGGACATTAGGAAAAAATTCCTAACTGTCAGGGTGGTCAAATATTGGAATAAATTGCCAAGGGAGGTGGTGGAATCTCCCTCTCTGGAGATATTTAAGAACAGGTTATATAGACATCTGTCAGGGATGGTGTAGACGGAGCTTGGTCCTGCCTTGAGGGCGGGGTGCTGGACTCGATGACCTCTCGAGGTCCCTTCCAGTCCTATGATTCTATGATTCTTGGCTAGCCTGAGGCAGCAGCTCCATGCTCTAAGTCCTAACCTGATGCCCTGCCGGCACTTGTTCCGGCCAGCCTTAACTTCGGTTCAGGGTCCACTCAGTGTGGTCATGCTAGTTTGAATTAGAAAAATGCTAATTCAAATTAGTTTTTTGGTCTAGATGCACTATTTCAAATTAGCTTAGTTCAAATTAACTAATTTGAATTAAAGTAGTTCAAATTAGTGCTGTAGTGTAGACATACCCAGGGTTAGGGAGGGGTAAGTGGAAAGACATGAGGGAGGAATGGGGCACAAACCCCGAATGAGGCAGACTAGGTAGGCTCTTAGTGCTCCTCAGGGTGTAAGCTGTCCCGCAGGGCCTGCTGGATAGACATATCCCCGCAAGGACCTCCCTGATGGCAGCCTGCACCAAGTGCAGCCTGGCTCCCAACAATGTGTCCAAGAGAAGCACCAAAGTGCCGAGGGGTGGCTCTTGCTCCATGTTGCAGAGTGCTGTGGTGTCCTGAGTGAGGGCAACTGGAGCATGCAGAGACAAAATGCTTTGCTGTCCCTCATCGAGATAGGCAAGCAAGCAGGGAACCCTGTCTGGGAGGGTCCTTTAAGCACAGACCTCAGACATAGTAAGTCCTGACATGGTGCCCTGCTGGAACTGGTTCCGGCCAGTCTTAAATGTGATTCAGAGTCCACTCAGTGTGGATGCACTATTTTGAAATAGGAAAATTCTATTTCGAAATGCATTTTTGTGCGTAGATGCATTATTCCGAAATAAGCGTAGAAAGGGTCTGAAAGGGTCTTTCTGCCTCCCTCCTGCCTTTGTGACCACCAGGGGGCTTCTCTCTTCACTACCAATCTCCAGCTCCAGCTACTGGGGGCTTTCGCTCACCCCGCTGCCCCCGATTTCCTCCTTCCTCCCCACCACTCCGCTGTAGAGGATAAGAGCCGAGGGGGAACATTCTTGAGCACACGGCAGCTCCACTAGAATCTCTCCCACATAGCCAGCTCCCTTCTTGGGTGCCTGCACCCCTCACTCCAGACTCCTCCTTTTTTGTTGAAAGAGTAAGAGCCAAAATTGTTTGGTTCCTCTGCAGTCACAACCTATTGCAGGTGTACTGAGGTTCGCTGAGTACAGCTCTTTTCGGCTGCAATAAGAAACACTTTGTAATACAGACCTGATGCTCTTTGGTTGGTTGCTGGGCAGCTGATATTTATTGCTTTGGTTTTGGGGTGTTCTGTGATCTGGGCTGATAGCCTGAAACCTCTTTGGGAAGCCCACACAAAACAGGCATTTCACTGAACACCCAATTTCATTTAAAGAAAATTTGCTGAGAAAATGAAATACCCAAGGTGAACAATGGCTGACGAGACTTAGGACACATCTACCAAGCAAGGAGAAGCCATCTCTGGCCTGCTCCAGCCGACATACACAGGGGCGCAGTTTTATTCCCGAGAAGACCTTCAGGTTGGGGCTGCAAGCCAAGGTCTGGAACCCTTCCACATCATTGGCTCTAGTTCCCTCGTTCCAGCAATGAAATAGCCCCAAGAAACCTTGTCCACTGGCACAGGTGAGTTGCAGTAGTTGTGTGCCGCTGAGAATTAGCTTTAGTCAGTCTTAGAATCCACCCCCACGTGTCTTGTCTCTTGACCACAGGAGTAAAATCCCCCCCTGTAGCTTGGGATTTAGAAGCCTTCAGGGCTGAGTGTACCCCATGTCACCTTTGCTCATAAATGTATTGATTAGTTGGTTGGATTATGAGGCAACACAGATCACTGAACCAGTCCGTCCCAGCCCACTCCCACTGGGGCCATAAGCTCCTGATCACCGACCGGACAGTCCTTCTGTGTGAGGGTGCTCTGGTCTGGCCCAGCCAGTCAGCTCTGGAGTTGACAGACAAGAGCAGGATAATTGGTAAGGGTACCTGTAAGACTCCTTCTTACCGGTGCGCTGACTGGTTCCTTGTGCAACATCCCAACCCATTCCTGTGATGTTGTTCTAGCAGAAATAAGAAGCATTTTTGGCAAATCAGCGTATTTATGTTGTCCGAAATATTTGTACTTGCTGTATTTGATTGTCCCATTTATATGATTGGATCTCAAATTATGAATACGGAGCATGAATCTTTATTCCCAATGTATTTACACAGCGGTACCCCACTGGGGAAGAGGCTTTCAGTGCAGACAGATCACTGAGCCCTGTAATGAGACATTAGGGAGAACAACAGGCCTCAGGAGAAGCCCAACTCCCACATGAGGAGCCTTCGGGAGACTGCTGCAGAGACCACAGTTAACAGGTGTTGTAATTCTGTGAGGTCAGGGGATCCAGCCACATGACTCTGGGCTCCCTCTTCCCATGCTGTTTTTCCACAGCCTGGTCTGGGGAGCAGTTTTGAAACAGTTTTGCCAGAGCTATATAAGGCAGGGGGTGAAATCATCCATTTTCACTCCCCACACAAGAGGATGCTGGGAAGGAGCTGAGGAAGACAGACTGACCTGGGGGAAGGATTGGACCCAGGCTGAAGGCGTCTTACCCAGTGTCTGGAATCCCAAGAACCCCAAGCTACAAAGCAAATGCAACTTCTGCCTTGAGAACATGCCAGACGGCCAGTCCCATCCTTCCGGATGCGAATCTGCTCGTTCCTCCTGACTCTGCCCTGTGTGCTCTGCAGAGTGTGTGTCAGGTTAGTTGCTGATAATCTGCTTTTTTGTCCCTGAAATCCATTTCTATCTGCTGTTTGTTGTTAATTAACTTGTGTGTAGTCTTATCGAAACCAGTGAGCCTTTAAGCAAAACGTGTTGGGAGAAAATTCTCCCCTCGGTTAACACATGTGGGGATTTCGTCTCCACATTAGGGGGGTGGAAACAGAAGAACAAATTTCTCCCTCTTGGTGGTTTCACCTGACAGTAAGGTGGTGGGGCAGCTTCCCCCGTGGCCTAGGGGATGGGGTGCTTGCCTGGGAAGGATGGGGCCGTGGCTTCTAGGCCCAGCTTGGGTGGGCCAAAAAGGGTCAGCCCCAGGGCTAGAGGGATAAATGGTGTCTTAATGATAAGGTGGTGGGGCGGCTTCCCCCCATGGCCTAGGAGGTAGGGTGCTCACCTGGGAAGGACGGGGTCGTGGGCTCAGGATGTGCAGCCCTGGAGTGGAACCCTGAGCTGCCACTGGTTATCTTGACTAGCTTCCCTCCGCAGTGTCCAGTCAGGGAGCACTGCAGATGGGCTGTGCCTGGTGTCGGGGGAAGTGCACCAGTGGAGTGTTGTCTGCAGCTCGGCACAGTGCAAGCGGGATCTATGTCTCCCATGCCCAGCAACAGAGCACAGGTGTGTTCACAAGACAGCAACATGCCTCTGCCTTTCCCATCCCACATGCACAGTCCTGTCTCTCACACCGATGTCTCTGAGTTTTTCTAAATCCAAGTGCAGAATGAATTTCATTCTGTGCAGTATTATCAAGGTAACGTACATCTCTGCACAACTGGGAGGAACCCTCACCCCCAAGCATTATGCATATTTTAAAACTTTGCCATAGGGTTAATAAGACATGTCAGGCATTGGAGAACTCATTATTCAAATTAAACTGACATATGAGATAGGAACAAAATGAGGAATTGCACGGACAGGTTATAAGAACATTTTGGAAGAGTCAAATTACAAAGCAAGTATGGGTCTTTCTGGGAGTTACAAGAGCACCACAAGTATGTGTTGGAAGGTGAGTGTGTGTGTGTTTGTGTGTGAGTATGAGAGAGCATGTGGAGTGATTCCAACACACTGTTTTTCACATTCTAAACCAGTTGGTGCCTAAATCCTTTAGGTTCCTTTAAATCTTAGAGCCAATGTGACGAGGAGATTCAAATTTTCTTCATGTGGCCAGTGTTCGGCGTTCCAGATCTAGAGATCAGACTGACTTGGGAGCTTTGGCCAAAAATCTTTGAAATCTTTCAAACCGGGAGCATTGAATTGTTTTTTTCCTCATAGAAAACAGCTCTCAGTTCTGCCTCTATAGACACTCATAAAGCTGATGCAATTTATCCTGGAGGCTCTGAGATCAGGTTCAATCCATGGGGTGTGTTCAGGGAACATGTGTTGTGTCCTTGTCTGTTTCTAGCTGCATCTTTCAAATGGTGCATTTGTTTCTTTGACTCTCCTGCAAAAGCGGATACCAAAGCTTGGGGGGTTGGGTTTTCTCTTATGGGGTTTATCTCTACTCAACCTCAGAAAGGCAATTCCCTCTCACCTCCCCCACCTCCAAGAGCTACATGCACTATCCTTGATTGAGCTTGGCAGCACAGACTAAGGGTATGTCTACACTACCCCGCTAGTTCGAACTAGCGGGGTAGTGTAGACATACCCTGGGTGCTAATGAAGCCCGGGATTTGAATTTCCCGGGCTTCATTAGCATAAGCGTGAAACGAGGTGTACCGGTAGTTCGGAATAGGCACCCTAGTCCGAACTACCTAGTTCGAGCCCCGTGTAGCCGCACTGCACGGGGTTCGAAGCAGCGGGGATTTAAAAATGGCGGC